AGCCTTAGCAATAGACAACAAAAAGAAATAAAAGGCATACAACTGGGAAAGAAGAAGTCAAACTTTCACTCTTTGCAGATACATGATACTCTATATGTAAAACCCAAAAGACTCCACCAAAAACTGCTAGATTGTGTGAACTCAGTAAAGTCGCAGGATATAAAATCAAAGTACAAAAATTGGTTACATTTCTATATACCAGTAATGAAGCAGCAGAAAGAGAAATCAAGGAATTGATCCCACTTGTTATTGTGCCAAAAACCATAAGACACATAAGAATAAACCTAACAAAGGGATAAAAGATGCGTATGCTGAAAACTATAGAAAGCTTATGAAAGAAATTGAAGAAGACACAAAGAAATGGAAAAATATTCCACGCCGGAGGAACAAATATTGTTAAATTGTCTATATCACCCCAAAACTTCTACACATTTAGTGCAATCCCTATCAAAACAATACCAGCATTCTTCACAAAGCTAGAAAAAACAATCCTAAAATAGCCACAATAATGTTGAAAAAAAAACAACAAAGCAGGAGGCGTCACAGTTCTGGACTTTAAGCTGTATCGCAGAGCTGTAATCATCAAGACAGTATGGTACTGGCACAAAAATAGACACATATATCAATGGATCAGAAGAGAAAATCCAGAAATGAGCCCACAAATGTATGGCCAACTAATCTTTGACAAGACAGGAGAAAGAATATCCAGTGGAATAAAGACAGTCTCTTCAGCAAATGGTGCTGGGAAAACTGGACAGTGGCATGCAGAAGAATGAAACTGAACCACTTCTTTACACCAAACACAAAAATAAACTAAAATTGGATGAAAGACCCCTATATGAGACAGGAAGCCATCCCAATCCTTTTTTTTTAATAGTTTATTGTCAATTTGGTTTCCATATAACACCCAGTGTTCATCCCAACAAGTGCCCTTACCATGCCATCACACCCCTTCCCCTCACCCCCACTCCCATCAGCCCTCAGTTTGTTCTCAGCATTCAAGAGTCTCTCATGGTTTGCCTCCCTCCCTCTCCCCAACTATTTTTCCCCTACTTCTCCCTCATGGTCCCAATCCTACAGGAGAAAACAGGCAGCAACCTTTTTGACCTTGGCTGCAACAACTTCTCACTAGAAATGTCTTCAGAGGCAAGGCAAACAAAAGCAAAAAAAAAAAAAAAAAAAGACTATTGGGGCTTCATCAAGATAAAAAGCCTTTTTGCACAGCAAATAAAACAATAAAAAAAACCTAAAAGGCAACCAATGGAATGAGAGAAGATATTTGCAAATAACTTATCCAATATAAGGTTAGTATCCAAAATCTATAAAGAACTTATCAAACTCACCCAAAAAAACAAACAATCCAGTGAAGAAATGGGCAAATGTCATGAATAGACACTTCTCCAAAGCCATCCAGATGGCCAACTGACACATGAAAAGATGCTCAACATCACTCATCATCAGGGAAATACAAATCAAAATCATGAGATATAACCTCACACCTATCAGAATGGCTAAAATGAATAACTCAGGAAACAAAAGATAATGGCAGGGATGTAGAGAAAAAGGAACCCTTTTGTGCTGTTGGTGGGAATGCAAACTGGTGCAGCCATTCTGGAAAACAGTATGGAGATTCCTCAAGAAATTAAAAATAGAACTACCCAACCACCTAGCAATTTCACTACTAGGTATTCATCCAAGTGATACAGATGTGCTGTTTCAAAGGGGCACATGCACCCCAATGTTTATGGCAGTGCTGTCAACAATAGCCAAAGTACAGAAAGAGTCCAAATATCCGTCGACCGATGAATGGATAAAGAAGATATGGTTATATATATATATATATATATATATACAATGGAGTATTACTCAGCAATCAAAAAGAATGAGATTTTGCCCGTTGTAACTACATGGATGGAACTAGAGGGTATTATGCTAAGCAAAATTAGTCAGAGAACGACAAATATCATATGACTTCACGCATATGAGGACTTTACGATACAAAACAGATGAACATAAGGGAAGGGAAGCAAAAATAATATAAAAATAGAGAGGGGGACAAAACAGAAGAGCCTCTTAAATATAGAGAACAAACAGAAGGTTGCTGAAGGGGTTGTCGGGGGGATGGGCTAAATATCTAAGGGCATTAAGGAATCTACTCCTGAAATTATTGTTGCACTCTATGCTAACTGACTTGAATGTAAATTTTTTAAAAATTAAAATAAAATAACCGTATTAGGATACTGTAGTGATTTAAGAGCATGAGCCTTGGAGTTGCTAACCAGGGTTTGAATTATGTTGCTGTCACTTACTGTGTGAGCTTGGCCAAATTATTTAATCTCTTAGAGTCTCACACTTATTTCCTGCAAACCAAAATGTCTTAATCATCGGATCACTGTGAGGCTTAAATCAAAAAGACACATGATACCACTAAAGTGTCCAATAAAATTCCCAGTATTGTTGTAAGCACTTAATAGATGTGGTTATTAGTAATCAAATTGTTTGAATCTTATAACTACAGATATAATATCATATACATTACCAAAAAAAATCCCAGAATTTGTTTTTCATGGGCAAAACCAAAAAGTCTATCAAGGAAAGAAAACTACCTTTCCAAAAATCAAAGCAGAATCGAAGAAAGAACAAAGGGCCTCCAAAGAATGTTCAAACTAGAAATATGCAGTTCTGCTACAAGGTCTGTGATATACTGTGAAATATTTTAGCATAATCTATGTAACATTATGTTCACACCAGTTATAGTTTAATTTTAGAGGGAGTCGGCATTATACTTGAAGGGCCCCATTCTAGAGGCAGCTCCTACAAGCCATTCAGGTATTGTATCTCAATCAACAATTGACAGTTTGCTAATTAGCATAGTAGAAGACAAAATGGATTTTCATTCCTAGAACCAGTAACCATTATTAAGTATGATGAATATTAGAAATGGGTTCTTATTAGAAGAAAATAACAGTTTTCTACTCGTGTGAATGTACTGCTCGTGTGTGCTGGCAAAACTTGCTTAAAAAATGCTCTCCATCCTTGTAAGAAAGAGGTATAAAAATCCACCCTGGCATGTACTTCTCACCTTTGTGGATGGAGACTATGGCTTGAGCTCTAATCAGTTCTGTGTATAGCCATCAGTTTAGGAGAATTGTAATGTAATTACACTAAGACTTAGTGATACAGAATCCTGCCTCAGAAATTTTGTTGGTCTGCTTGCTAAAATTTTCATACAAGGGCAGAAAGCTGAAATTTCACTGAAGTTAGAGATGATGATGTAGGAAATTTTGTGCGTTCATTGATAACGAATAGCCAGCAAATATATCCATGCATAGAAGAATTTGATTAGACACTCACTTTCATTATCAGTAGGTAGGAAGATTGTGGGCAGTAACTTTACTAAAAAGAACTTCAGCTATGTGACAAATTGGCTAATGTCACTTCACAACAAATAGTTCAGAACTACCTCCCTTCTTTTAAGGCCTTTCTTCAATAGCCGAGGACTTGTCATAATGATAATCTAATCCTCTATATAGATTGCCCATTTTCTAGATCGAAATATATCAAGAAACACAGCATAGCCCTTTAGAATTCAAGCCCTGCCACTTATTAGCCACATAATGATTAGCAAATTATTATCTTCCTGTGCCTGCATTCCTACTTTGGACATAGATTGTAGATCATAATGATGATTAAATAATATACATATAAATAATATGATATATATACTTCTAATAGTTTCTGCCACATCTTATAAAGTGCTAGCTATTATTATTTCTCAAATTCTCCTCCAGAGACATAGTTTAGTGTAACCATGTTGGCTGACACTCTGTTACTCAATTAAGGCCACTCAGTTGCATCATGTCACAATTTTATTTGTGTCTTGAAAATCTTCTAAGGGATTCTACGTGAAGTCAGTCATGTGCATTCATTGAGTTCATCACTTAGGTGCATCTGTAGCTCTGTCTAGAGTATTTATTCTTCAGCTTGGAGGCTGGAGAAGTTGGAATTCCCTAGTTTCCTCCTTAGTGCAGATACAGCAAATTAACTCACTTTTTATAAAATTGTCTTTTCATTTGGAAGTACCCCTCCTGCACTACAGTCATGGAATGGCCCCACTTCTACTGTCTAGCAGACTTCTTAGTCTCCCTGCCCACCTTGGACTCAAGGAGTGGTAAGTTTCAGGGAAAGAGTCAGGAGAGGAGGGGAGAGAATATGTAGGGAGAAGGCACATTGAAGGAGGCATCCCTCTCCTCTCTCAGATTGTATTTCCATTCACTGGCAAGTCCCTCTCTTTCCTTTTCAGCAGACTCTATAATGTTGTTTTAACTTCAAAGTTTTGGATTGCTAGTATTTGACCTATGTATGGCTTTAATAGGTGATCTTTTTGAGACTGATAGTTATTCCAGATTCCGATACAGTGTTCCTTGTTTTATTAAAACTTAAAAGATTTATAAAAGTAATTCATACTCACGGGGAAAAAAATCTAAAAATATAGGAAATCAATACAGTGAATTAAAGTAATCACCAAGTCATATTTATTAAGGCTTTTTTTCTTCATTTACCTGACTAGTAAAGGGAAACTAACATTTATTGTACTTTGTAAATATGCTGGATATGAATGAGCCTGGCAACATCCCTTTGAAATAAGTATTAATATCATCACCCTTTTTAGATGTGACTTTTGAATTCTGAGAGCTTAATCTAGACAAAGACATAAGCCGTAAGTGGCAGCAGCTTAGTGTGAACTTTGATTCCCATACCCCTACTGTTAGGTCACTGTGTTTCCAGGATGTCATTCACTCATACCTGCATTTCACAACATTTCTTTCCCTAATGTTAACTAACCCTGAGGTGGGTTTTCAAATTTTTCCTTTCCCAGCAGAGTAGATGAAGAGTCTGATAAAATGAATCACTCATTGTGGCTTCTAGCTCGGCTGTCCACTGCTGAACAGCCCAGGACAGTTTCTAAAACTGCTCACAGAGCAGCAATGTGTCCTTACCATAGGCCTTTCTTCCAGGTTACATCCCAGGAGGCACAAAAGCAAATCCTTGTAACCTATGGGAAGAGACAGGCATTCTAAATATATTCTGGAAGAGTTTGAGCCATTTTTCAAATATTTGTTATGAATGTCAGACTTCTGAAAATGATAAAAATGCAGATCTGAATTCTGCCAGAGAGAACTAGGTTTAGAGGATTGTGGGAATTACTAAGAAAAAGATACGCTTTAAGTGACCAGCTTTTCACACATCCTCTTTGACAGTGATTGGTACTTTAGCTTCTGAAGTAGTTAACCGAAGTCCTCAGTTATTTTTAATACAATGAACCCTCCGAGCTCTGATTTGGCGGAACTGAGGTAAATAGCATGGTGTGTTGATTTCAGGCAGCTCCAGAATAGTTCAAAACTGTCTGAGCTTGCAGTGAATAGATGCAGAGTTGCTTTAAGTCTTTGAAAACCTTTGATTATTTTATTATTCTATCTATAAATATGTTCATCATGAAAACACCAAATAATACAGAAGAATATAAAGAAGAAAGTAAATTTTATTTGAAAACTCACTACAAAGAGATAGCTAAACCACTGTTTATATTTTGACATATCTCAGTGAGAGTTTCATCTTTTGTCTGCTATAGTACTCGTTAATTTGTTCAAGAAGCATTTATTTGGTACTTATTATGTGCAAGTACTACCAGGTCCTGGAAAGGTAACAACCTCATAATAGACTAAGGAAGACAGACTATTAAATACAAATCAGAATACAAAGATGGAGTAAAGGTTGTCTTATTCATCTTCATATCTTCATTTTCTCAGGATGGAGGAGGCAGGGAGAAGATGCTAAACAGATATTTGCTGAATGAATAAATGACCTTTTGAATCATTGGATGAATAAAATGTAATAAAAGTAGCTCATGGAAGCACTAAAAAGAAGCACATAAATATGGCTAGAAGAAGTTTTCAGATGTCATGTCCAAACTACAGATTGAGGTGTGAGTAAGAATTAATCTAGCAGCTGGAGCAGCATATGCAAAAGCCGTGATGCATCAAGGAAAATGTAAGGAATTCAGAGTGATTGGAGCTTAAAGTTAGTGTAGAAATGTGGCAAGAGATGAGTCTTGAATAATAATTGTGGCAAAGCCATGATGGGCCATCTATGCCAACCAGCTAACAAGCCTTGAGTTTATCTTGAGGCAAATGGGAAGCTGAAAGCCTTTAGTTATTTAAAAGGGAAGGGTTTAGTCATTAGAAGAATGGCATGATTTCCACCTTAGGAGTCTAAACTATGTCCTGTGCCTTCGTCTCTTAAAGTTTAGTAGATTGTCTTTTTGAAAAAAATTTATGTCTCGAGTCTCTTGTAAACATAGGCTTAGTGATTTGGATCAACACCTCTGCTGAAAATAAATTACATTGGATATAATCACATAGTCTTAGACACATCCAAGATTAGGTAAGACAGCTGCCTGAGGAGTTCTGAGGGAAGCCATCCATGGAAAAGTGCCATAGTGTTCAATGGAAAACTGCTCTCAGGGGTGCCTGAGGAAGCTGCCCAATAGCTGGTACCACTAAACTAACCAAGCTAACTAAGGGAATATTAAGCAAAACCATCCATGCCTGGGGCTCTGAAAAGGTACCTGGGGGGCTGCCAGAGGAAGCTGCCATGGGACATTCCCAATTTCTACCAGCTCCTGGGTGCTGCTGAAGGTAGATGCTGCTGCCAAAAGCCAAATGTACTTTAGAAACACAGGAGAAGCCCTCTTAGATAAACATACCAGAATCGAAAGAAAGAAAGAAGGGAAGGGAAAGGAAGGGACCTCATCTTCCTCCCATGTCTCTCCAGTACTCTCTACTGACAAAACTTAACATCATCATGTCTTTTAGCAAAGAAGTATTTTCAACTCTATTGTAAATAGGGGTTCCAGCTCTATTATTACAGAGCTGGCAATAAAGGGTATTTGGAAATTTAGAGTCCACATCAATAACTGCCCTAGGCAGTGGAAAAAAAAGACAAAAGCAATTTGAAAATCTAAAGGAGATATTGCAACAAGTATCTGTCTGTCCTGAAAATTTTTTATCTTGTTGACATTATAGAGTAAAAAGAACCGAAATCAATGTCTAGGTCAATCATAAATATAGGATCTACAGGAAACCTTCCCTGAAAGAAGGTGGGCCTAGAAGTTACAAAGATCATTGTAAAAGTGAATCAAAAGTAAGTGAACCCTTGTATGAAATTAAAGTCTAGGTTTGATTTGCCTAAATTATTCAAGAGATACTTCTACCCTTGACTGTAGCTTAAGGTGATCCCAGACTGTCCCAAAGAAACTGGTCATATATATAAAGTCCCTTAACTCTTCAAAGTTTTCACATCATCCGCCCAAGACCATAATAGGCCTTCTTGGATTTTTGATCTCCCAGCAATGAACTTTATTATGGACCTAGGCAAGATCAGCAAATGGCCACAGGAACAACTACATGCATGCATCTAATCTTAGAAAAAAGATCCTTTCCATATGGAATTTTACTCCATCAAGTTCATGAACACAGAAGAAAATGTGAGCATGATGAGAGAAATTCAAGGAATAGGAAACAAATGATCCATTTTAATAAAGGAATAAAAGAATCAAACAGATTTCTAGAAATGAAAAAAATACACAGTATCAAAATGAAAAATACTCAGAAGGTGGCTAACCACAAACTAAACACTAGTGAAAGACAAGATCAGAAAGATTGAACACATAGCAGTAGAAACTATTCAAAATCAAGCTAACAACAACAACAAAAAAACCACATGAAATGTGAACATAGGGTCAGTGACCTGTGGATAACAATCTGATCTACTTGAAATAGAAGTCCTAGAAGAATAAAAAGTTGGGCAGAGGGGATACTTGAAAAAAAATAATAGCTTAAAGTTTCCCAAATTTGATCTAAACTATAAACACAGAGATCCAATATGCTGAAAGAACTTCAAGCAGAATAAACAGTGCTAGAGAACATTATAATCAAGAAACAGTAACTGAGAGAAATTAAAGATGTAAATATGTGGAAGAGAGAAAACATTCATGGATTAGAAGGTTCATTATTGTTTAAGATAGCACTCCTTTATAAACTGATCTAGAGATTCAATGTAATTCCAATCAAAATCTCAGTTGTTTTGTTTAGAAATTGACAATTTTAAAATTTGTTTTTTATTTTATTTTTTATTTTTATTTTTTTATATTTTATTTATTTCTGAGAGAGGAGAGAGAGAGAGCATGAACAGGGAAGGGTCAGAGAGAGAAGGAGATACAGAATCTGAAATAGGGTCCAGGCTCTGAGATAGCTGTCAGTACAGAGCCCGATGCAGTGCTCGAACCCACGAACCATGAGTTCGTGACCTGAGTGAAGTCGGATGCTTATCCGACTGAGCTACCCAGGCGCCCCCCAATTTTAAAATTTGTGCAGGAATGCAAATCAGCTAGAATGACCAGAAGAATTTTGAAAAAGAAGTCCAAAGTTGGAGGATTCAAACTTCCTCATTTTAAGACTTACTATCAAGTTAGTAACATAGGGTTATATTGCCATAAAATACACTTATAAGGAACAGAATAAAACATGTTGAAATAGATACATATTTGATAAATTGACTGTGACAAAGGTGCCAAGGCAGTCCAAGAGAAGAAGAATCTTCCTGCAAATAGTTCGTTAACAATTGTTAGCTGTAGACAAAAAAAAAAAAAAAAATGACCATTAGCCCTTGCTCACATACATGAAACATACACAAAACTCAAAATGGAGTATAAATCTAAGTCTAAAAGATAAAACTAGAAAACTCCTAAAAGAAAACATAGAAGTAATTTTAGTAATGTTGGTTTGGGGAAAGATTTCTTAAATACAGCATACCAAAAACATGAACTGTCAAGAGAATTTAAGAAATTGGGCTTCATCAAAATTTAAAATGTTTGCTCTTCAAAGGATACTTACAAAAATGAGAAGGCAAGCCACAGTCTTAGGGAAAATATTTGCAAAATATATACCTAAAGCTTGTACTTAGAATATATAAAGAATACCTATGAGTCAGTGAGAAGTAGTCAAAGAATTCCATAAAAATATACAAAAGATTATGACCCTACACTAAAGTAGATGTACAAAGATGAATACGTGAAAAGATGCTGAACACTATTAATCAGCAAGGAAATGTCAATTAAAACTACAGTAAGTTATCTCCACATATATACTAGAATAAATGAAGCCAGACCAAAAAGGGAACATATGTCTATTGATTCCACACTTATAAAACTCTAGAAAATTCTAATGAATCGATAATGACAGGAAGCATATCATTGGTCCTCTAGAGAAGGAGCGGGAGAAGGATGGGTAGTTGGGCAAGGAAGAACTTGAAAGAGGAAATGCAAAATGCACAAGGAAACTTTTGGGATGATGGATATGTAACATGTTTATTATGTTAATTGTGGTGATGGTTTCAAGGCTGTGTACATATGTCAACATTTATCAAATTATACATTCTGTGTGCAATTTATTGTATGTTAGTTATACCTTAATACAGCTGTAAAAGAATAGGCAAAACTAAATTATATCAAATACATAGAAGTACCCATAGACAATAAAACTATGAATACATTACATACATAGATAGTGAAACTAAAAAACGAGTGAGCTATAGGGCACCTGAGTGGTTCATCTGGCTGAGTGGTTGACTCTTGATTCCGGCTCAGGTTATGATCCCAGGGTTGTGAGTGAAAGCGCCAAAGTAGGCTCTGTGCTGAGCATGGAGCCTGCTTGGATTTTCTCTCTTACTCTGTCCCTCTCCCCAGCTTGTACTTTCTTTTTTTTTTTTTTTTTAATGTTTTATTTATTTCTAGGAGAGAGAGAGAGACAGCGTGAGCAGGGGAGGGTCAGAGAGAGATGGAGTCACAGACTGAAACAGGCTCCAGGCTCTGAGCTGGCAGTCAGCACAGAGCCTGATGCGGGGCTCGAACCCACTAACCGCGAGATCATGACCTAAGCGAAAGTCGGAAAGTCGGACGCTTAACCGACTAAGCCACCCAGGCACCCCTCCCCAGCTTGTACTTTCTATCTCTCTAAAAAATAATAATCATAAATAAAATTTTAAAAATAAAAAAAGAATAGTGAGATAACGATGATCCTAACAAGTCATGAAAATGACATCTTGAGTCGAGGCAGAGTGGGAATGTAGTGAAGGAGGGAAGGGTGTATGATCAACAAGAATACATAGTTGCTTAAGAGGGGCCATTTATATTTTTTTATCTCTTCACCTGGGTAGTGATTCATGGGAATTTTCTTTAGAAGGTGTGTGTTGGTATGTGTATTAAACACATTTCTTTACATTCGTTATATTTCATACCCATAAGAGTTGAAGAATGAAAGGAAGAAGAAGTGGAAGAGGAGGGAAGGGAAACAGAAGGAGGAGAACTAAAAACACAAGAGCCAGATGGTGAAGTGGAAAGAACACCCATTAAGTATATGGGGACTTGCGTTGCAGTTATTTTTCTCCCTGTAACTGAATGGGAGGCAGGAAAAGTCATTCAAACTCTTGGACCTCATTAGTTTCCCCATTTGAGGCTTATTAGACACCGAATGAAAAAGTATCAAACAGGTAATTTCTAATAGCTCTTCCATAATTTTGAATCTTTAAGTTCAATCCTTCAGCAAATAATGAAAAATTGGTTAATACTGCTATTCAGATCAGAAGCAGAAAGCCTTATAAATACATAGGAATTAGTTATTAATTATAAAAGATTGTCACCAGGGAAGGACTGCTTCTTCAGCCACGTGGTATAAGAGAAGAAGAGCCTTTGCCTCTGTTTTCTCTTCAGTGCCACAATTGAAAGAGAATTGCATTGGAGCTCAAGCCTTTGGGATCAAGCCATGGCTTCCCTTCTCACTGGTTGTGTGATCTTGCTGAGTCACATCTTCTTCATTTGCAAGGCAAGAATATTAACACTTTCATAGTGTTTCCTATTGTATCAGGCATTGTTCTAAACTCTTTACATATACATTTACTCATTTAATTCTCACAATTTGGGAGTAAATACTATTATTATCCCCACTTCACAGGAAAGGAAGTTGAGGCTGAAATGATGGTATGAGATTATTGTGAGCATCACTTAAAATAATGTATGTAAAATTCTCTTTTGTACTTAAAGTTATATGTATATATAGAGTACTTTAAAATTATTCTGATTACAAGAGAATGAAAAAACAAGGCACAGACTCAGAGAAAATATTTGCAAAATACATAGTTCATAAAGGACTATTACCCAAAATATAAAGAATTCTTAAAGAGGGCACTTGTAGTGATGAGCACTGGGTGTTGTATATAAGTGATGAATCACTAAATTCTACACCTGAACCTAATATTACACTTTATACTAACTAACCGGGATTTACGTGAAAACTTGGGGTGGGGGAGTGATGAGGAAGGAGTTGTTAAAACTAACTAATAAGAGAACAAAGAACCCAATCTAAATGGACAGATACCTCACCAAAGAAGATACACAAATGAGAAAAAAGCTTATGAAAAGATGCTCAACAACATATGTTATCAGGGAAAAGCAAATTAAAACAGCAATAAGATAACAAACACACATCCATTTCGATGGCAAAATTCCAAAACACCAATAACACCAAATGCTGGAGAGGATGTGGGGCAACAGGATCTCTCACTCACGACTGGTGGTAATGCAGAATGGTACAGGCCACTCTGGAAGATAGTTTGGTGGCTTCTTACAAAACTAAATATATTCTTACCATATGATACAGTAATCAAGCTCCTCGGTATTCACCCAAATGAGTTGAAAACTTATATCTACACAGAAACAAGCACATAATGTTTATAGCAGCTTTATTCATAATTGCCAAAACTTAGAAGTACCCAAGATGTCCTTCAGTAAGTGAATAGATACACTGTGGTACATCCATACAGTGGAATACTACTCAGCAACAAAAAGAAAGGAGCTATCAAGCCATGAAAAGACATGGAGGAAAAGGCCATGAAAAAAAAATCTGAAAAAGCTTCATACTATATGATTTTGACTATAATGACATTCTTAAAAAGTCAAAATTATGAAGACAGGAAAAAGATCAGTGGTTACCAAGGGTTATGGGGAAGGAAAAGATGGAACACAGAGGGTTTTTAGGGCACTGAATATATTCTGAATGAAACAATGATAGATATATGTCATTATACAGTTGTCCAGACCCATAAATGAACAGCACCAAGAATGAATTCTAATGTACACTGTGGATTTGGGTGATTATGATGTGCCAAATGTAGGTTAATCAGTTGTGACAAATGTGCACTCTGGAGGGGGATGTTGGTAGTGGGAGAGGCTGCACATGTGTGAAGGCAGGGGCCTTCGGGAAGTCCCTGTATCTTCCTCCCAATTTTGCTGTGAATACAAAACTACTCTTAAAAATAAAGACTTAAAAAATGATATGATGCCACCCCTAAGGAGATGCATTTCAGCCGATGATGGAATAGATCCCTTGGTCTGTATTAAATTTTAATCTTGTAAGTTTATATAATACTCAAAACACAAGTTTGCAAATGATCATTATAATTACTTTGGATTTAAAACTACCTGCTCCAAATGGATGTTTTCACCTGACTGCTGCTAAGAGGAAAAAGATGTACCTATCTGAACTGTGTTTTTACCTTATAAGGGACAGGAGAGTATCTAAAAACAAAAATCAAAAACAAAAACAAAAAAACAACTTGATGGCAGATAACATCCCAGGAAAAGACTGTGCTAATCCAAAATTACAGCCCTTGCAAATGTATTGCCCATTAGGGATAAATCCAAAGCATGTCAGCTTATATTTTCCTGTCAATAACTGACAATGCAGAGGCTGTTAAAATGACTATATACCTTTGGGGCGCCTGGGTGGCTTAGTCGGTTAAGCGTCCGACTTTCGCTTAGGTCATGATCTCACGGTTCGTGGGTTCGAGCCCCGCGTCGGGCTCTGTGCTGACTGTCAGCTCAGAGCCTGGAGCCTGTTTCAGTCTGTGACTCCCTCTCTCTCTGACCCTCCCCTGCTCACGCTGTCTCTCTCTCTCCTAGAAATAAATAAAAATATTAAAAAAAAATGACTATATACCTTTATTATATGTGTAAATGTAATCTAAATATTATTCTGGGTGCATTTTTTAAGTGAGAAGAAAATGAGATCTGTAGACTCATCTGAAAAAATCTGTAATACGTGGAATTCTAAACTCAACATGAATATTTATTTCATGAACATCTGCTTGAATACAAAATATGTAGCTTAAGCAAATTCAACATGAAAAATATTGCAATTAAAAGTAAAAGCATTTAAGAAGTGCACTGTCTTGAAAGCAATAGATTTTATTTGCAGACAGTCGATAAGGTTGTAAACAGTGTATGATAACTGGCAAAGAACAACAAAAGAAATCATTTGCTGAAATTAGAAAATACTAATGAGAACTACATAAAGAATTGTACATCTTGCCTTCATATTGCTTCAGCTAACACTTAGAGCAAAAAGATACTTAATTGAGTAAAAACTTGAATAAGACAAACTGTTGGGGAAATATTTCAAAGAGCAAACTAGCAGACCCATTTTGATTTTTGCCTCAACTCTAAAATTATGATTTTAATTTATAAAACTTAAATTTTTCCATTCAGGAATTTATATCCCTCTAGATCTTTATAAATCTAAGATTTTCAAATCGTAGTTCTTTTTTCAAATTAAACATGATATTTTAGGGAAATTGAAAAATAAAAGTATAAAAAGAAAACATCTATAACACTCATATCATGGTATTATATATTAGATCATGGCAGTTTTCTTATATAATCATGAAAAATATGATTTTAATGGGTGGCCTTATAATTAATGTTTTTATTTTGTTATTCACTAGGAGATACCCATTGAAAATGAGCCTAATTTAATTGTCTTATCTGCAAAAACATTCTGGGTTAGAATGACTCAATCTTATTTTTCTCAGGATCCTACAGAATGTAAGAGTTTGCTAGAGCAAGAAGCTGTTTTGTATTCCAATTTATTGTCTAAACTTTCTACTAGAAAAGTAGGATTGGAATATCATGGCCCAAAATCCTTAAAATCCTAGAAATGTACTATTAAAATGTAGAGTAAGGACACTTTAAAATGCCAGTAGAGATAGCGATATCAATCAAAATTGGGTAACCCAGACAAGCAATTATAGGTGTCTTTCTGTGACTTAAAAAGGTAACTGACGTGAACCCAAAGATAGCCATATGGGACATCCAGTGAAAGGCAGAAAATGTAATGGTTAGTCTTGTCTCCCTGGTACAATAGCACCTCATTAGCCAATTAAGTTCTTATCTAAAGTTTAATCCTCCCAAGGGGTGCCTGGGTGGCTCAGTCGGTTAAGGTTTAACATCTGGCTCTTGATTTCTGTTCAGGTCATGATCTTACGGTTCTTGGATTCCAGCCTCACATGGGACTCCCCACTGACAGCACAGAGCCTGCTTGGGATTCTCTCTCCCTCTCTCTCTGCCCATTCCCAGCTAGCTCATTTTCTCTCTCTCTCTTAAAAATAAATAAACTTTTAAAAAATTCTTTAAAAAAAATAAATCCTCCCATCTCATTCTTCCCTTCACCGCATCCCACAGCTCACACTTTATACTTTATGTAGTATTCAAACCTTGCATTCTGCCTGTACTGCAAAATAGCCTTCATGCACCAACCAGTATTTCTCTACTTTAATTTCACATGTGAATCAGGCTTTTATTTTTTTAAATGGGCTTCTTGTCTAATATAGTGATATAAAGTGCCCTTTTGGTGTCAATGAATCCAGAACTCATTGACAAATTCATCAAGCACTTACCTGCTCTGTTCTAATCATTGTCCTGGAAAATGAAGATCAAGTGGTGAAGAAACATGATGGTCCTGCTCCCTGGAGCTTGCATTCTTTTTTTTTTTTTTTTTTTTTAATATTTTTATTTCTAGGAGAGAGAGAGAGAGAGAGACACCGTGAGC